TCGCTGGAAGCATCAGCAGCAGCGGAGGGAGCAGCCGCCGGGGAAGCGCAGCCCGGCGGCGGCAAGGCGAAGGGCAAGGCGTTGAACAAGGCCGAACGCGGCGGCGCCGCCGGTGCCGGGGCCAAAACCGATCGCCCCGCCGCGGCCGCTGTGCCCAACGGCGACAGGCCTCCGCCGCCTCCCGCCACCGCCACTACCCCTCCTTCTTCCGCCGCCGCCGGCGCCGTGACGAAGACTGCGTCCCCGACCAGAGGCAAGGGCAACGGCGTTGCCGGGGAGGGAGCGGCGACGGTGGCGGCGGCTACCGGTTCGAGCACACCGTCTGGGAAGACAAAGGCGGGGGCGGCGGGCAAGAGGACGGACCGCGAGGCGAAGCAGGCCGGAGGGGCGGTGACATCCCAGGGCCCCGACGGGACGATGGGCTTCGGCAGTGGACGAGGAAAGCCCGTGCCCGGCGGGGGAGGCGGCGGCAAAGGCGGCGGTAGGGCTGGGGGGCTACAGCAGCAGGGCTCTGACGGCCCCGATCGAGGAGACTACGGCCGCGGCGGCGGCAGGGGCGGCGGTGGGCCGGGAGGGAGAATGGGGGGTGCGGGAGGAGGGGGGGGCAGGGGCAGCAGAAGACCCGCCGTTAACGCGGGGGAGTGGAAGGGGCAGAGAGGCATGCAGCGCAACCGCATGGCGGAGAAGTCGGATCCAGACTTCGTCCGCAACTACGACAACTACCGCCCGAGCTTCGCGCCGTACCGGCAGCTGGCGGACCCCGGGGGAAGGGGGGGCAGGGGAGGAGGGAGGGACGGGCCTGGGGGGCAGCAGCCGCAGCCTTCGCCGCGATTGCTCCAGCAGCACCCGGTGAGGGTAGTGGTTTAGTTAGGTGGTGTCGTTGTGTTTTTTGTTTCACGAAGAGCAGGGTTGTGCTGGTTGTTGGTTGTTGGAGGACTTGCTCCGCTAAGAGCGATGGGTATGACCGACCGAGAGCCTTTTGAGTTGGTGCGAAGTTGAGAATCTACAAGGGGCAAAAGGCGTTGTTTTTGCCCCTTCTTGGGGTCATTTCAAAAGGCGTTGTTTTGCCCTTCTTATGGTCGCTTTTTATGTGTTTGGTGTATTCACAATGTTGCCCCCCCCCCCCCCGTGTGGTTGCTTTTTGGAGATTCGTATAGTACGTAGCAACAGCAACAGCAGATTGGGTTTGGCGACTTTCTGCGGACGGTGCGCTTGCTCACTCTCACCCCCGACCCCTTCCGTGCTATTTCGACTCGCGGCATGTTCAGCAGCAGCAGCAGCAGCACGCGATGATGAGCGCCGCGGTGCAGCACGCCCACGGGCAGGCCGCGCACGCCATGATGGCGATTCCGGCCGGTATGCAAGGGCACCAGCTTCGCGGACAGATGCCTGGACAGGTGTGTAAACCGTGGGGGTGGTGCTTGCCTCTCTTCGTTTGGTCGCAACGTTCTTAGAAAGTTACTTACATGACAGAAAGTGCCCGTTCGAGAGAATACCACAGCGGTCGAAGGGGATGTGTTGTTGTTGTTGTTGTTGTTAGGTGCTGAGTTTTGCTTACTGGGTGTTGTTTGTTGGTGGCGGCGCGGCCCGACAATGCTACCGTCCATAAGACGATGCTATCGGGAGCTTTGGCTCGCAGCGGGCTTTTCATCGGTACGTCACCCCTCTCGTAGTGGCGATATGTTTGCTGTGCTATTTTCATGTCGAGAAGCGGGTTGCACCCCACAATTGAAGGCTGACCGATGCCCCCCCTCTTCCCCCGCATGGTTTCTATCCACGCCACAGCCTGGCGTACTATTGGTGCAGCAGCAACAACCCTGGCAGCAGCACCAGCAGCAGATGGAGGCGCAGGCCATGGCGGCCGCCGCCGCCGCCGCCGCCGCCGCCGCCGCTGCAGGGGGGGGAGCGCCGTCAGTCTACGGCGCGGCTGTCCCGGGACATGCGATGTACGCCGCCCAGGGGTACGTGGACCCTGCGCAGGCCGCTGCTGCCGCTGCCGCCGCCGCCACTGCTGCTGCCACTGGTGGAGCGGCGGCCGGGGCCAGCGGTGTCGCAGGGTCGACGATGCGCGGCCAGCAGCAGCACCCCCACCACCAACCCAGGCAGCAGCAGCAGCAGCAGCAGCCACACCACCAGCAACACGTGCAGCACCATCAGCAGTCGCACGCTCAGCAACCGGCGGCGCACCATGTACAGCAGCAGCAGCAGCAGCAGCAGCAGCAGCATTTGAGCTACATCCACCCACAGCAGCAGCAGCAGCAACCGGGGTTGCTGCCGACAACGACGCAGCAGCAGCAACAGGGCCAGCAGCAGCAGCCACAGCAGCAGCCGCAGCCACAAACCGGTCTTTTGCAGACGCCGCAAGTGTCGACGAGCCTGGCCATGACCAGCGGGTACATGACGGCGCAGGACTTCTACGGGGCGCAGCAGCCGCAGCAGGCAATGTGAGAAACGCTCTCTTGTCCGTGGACGTGTGTTTGTAGTTTGATGTACATACACGGATTTGCTTGCCTGGCCGATTGGCGTCAGAGTGATATGTCGCGCTGCTGCTGCTGTGTTGGGGATGAAACAACACGATCGTACGTTGCAATTTAACCTTTGGCTTTGGTTGATTGCCGCCAAGCCCCTTTCCCGTATCCGCACCCGTTGACGTGCTTTCCCTTCTTTTTTTTGCACGCTCCGTTGGAGCAGCTACTACCCGCAGGACCCAAGCATGCAGGGCGTGGCCATGGGGTACAGCGTTCAGCAGCCGCACCTCGCCCATCACCCCCACCAGCAGACCTTCGTTGTCCCCGTACAGCAGCAGCAGCAGACCCAGCCGCAGCAGCAGCAGCAGCAGCAGCAGCAGCAGCCGCAACATCACCCTTACCAGCACCACGTGTATCCGGTGGGAGCGATGCAACAGCAGCCCGTACCTCAGCAGCATCGCCAGCAGCAGCAGCAGCAGCAGCACGGGAACCACCACCAGCAACACCATCAGGGCGGAGGAGGCGGAGGGGGGCGAGGGGCAGGCCGAGGCAGGGGCGGCGCTAGCGGGGGGCGGGGGGGCGCTAACCGCGGCTACCAGAGTGATTTCCCGCCGCTAAACTGAGAGGACGACTCGGGGCCGATTTTTGTCTCAGGGTTCTTTCGGCGCTTGAAGGCGTTGGGGCAATATGTCGTTGTCGCACTTTAGCCTGTATACCCCTTTTACGGCCTGTACCCCTTGTACACCTCTCCTCCCCCCTGCCCTTCGCACGCGGTATGGACCTCAGTAGATCGTAGAGAGAGGACAAATTGAGAGAGGGTTTGTCGCGCCTGCGCTTGCTTGCCTGAGAGGTGGCCGGGTGAGAAAAAAGGGCGTTTGAGTGTTTGTCCTGTGTGGGTCGGGGTGGTGCCGCCACGCGCTTGGTGGCGGCAGCAGACGTGGTGTGATCGCGAGTCGTTCTTCAGTGAAAGGAGTAGAGGGATATATCAAAATCAGTCCCCGCAGCGGCAGCGCACGACGGCTGCAGCCTTGCCACGGCATTTGCGGTGCCGCTTGAGTCTCAGGGCCCGAGCGCACGCGTCGTCTGCTGTGCCCTCGGCAGCGGCGGTGTAGCCTGTGCGGCAGAACTTTGCCATGCAGCAAAGCCAGTCGATATTTTGCGAGAGCCTATGCTCAGGACGACGACGGACGGCTTGTGTGTGTTGGTGTCGCGCGGTACGGGGGAATGGAGGGAGGAGGCGAGGGGTACAGATCTGCTTGTTGAAAGTGTGATGTGTTATTTAGTAGTTGGTGCTCCGTTTGCGCTTATGTCGGTGCGCAATAGGTGTGTCCTGAGAGCGATGTTGCACAAAAGCTCGGAGAGCTAAGCCGTGTTTATCTTACGTTTCGCGGTGCGGGTGGGGTTAGCAGTGCGTGGGTAGTACGGGAGAGAATGGTGTGAGGTGTCTGTCTGTATTCTGTCTGTGGTCGGCTGTCGTCGACAACCTGTGTATCTGCTGCGTGTTGGTGACGTCGCGGTCTTCTGTAAACAGCTTCGTCGCGTTCATCGTAGGGGGGGGCAGGAAAAGAGGCCGCAGCCACCATCATCGCTCGGCGCCTTTACTAGAAACCCCCTCTCAGCGAAACGAAGAGAAGGGATTTGTACATCCCGCGAAGCAATTATATTGGTTCTGTTTTGTGGATGGATGTTGTTTGGGTTGAGTTTTTGGTCACAGCTTATGGTCGACTCGATGGTCAACCCTCTACTGTACAGTACGTAGTGTTGTGGTATTTTTTCTCTCCAGAGGGCTTCTTTACAACACTTTTAAAAGTAGTCTTGTATTTTGGCCGCTGCAGTAGACACACGCTCGTGGCGAATTCGACAGGCTTTTCATCCGTCCCTTTTGTGTGAAGAAAAATATTCTGGAACCAACAAAAAACGTTTGTATGCCCCATTCATTGTCGTAAAAGGCGAAACCAACACGATGAGCAGTGAGATGCACATGTTTGGTTCATTTTTTCTTTGTCGAATGACCGCAAGGTTAAAGGTGTGGACGAAATATATCGAGCAGTGATGATGCTGCGAGGCGTCCTTGTCACACCAGACAACGATATTACTATGCGTATTGCTGCTGTGTCTGCTGCTGCAGTCTGGTATGTGTGTGTGTGTAGACTTTTGCATGCAGTTCTCACAAAGTCGACGCAAAACGTCGGCTATGTCATGTCCGGAACCTCTTATCAAGGTGTGGCGCAAAATGGAGCGCTAGATTGCCATATCATGACCTCTCCCAATCATTCTGGGGACACTCATTCTGTGGAAACCAGGATTACCAGGTGGTAGGTCTTCAGCGGTACGGGAAGGGACGCACGTTACATGTGACTGCAAGTATTGAGGCGGAGAGATGGCACCCCCTGGGCCGATTTTTCAAACCTCGATTGCTTCACATCCAAAATAATTGTGCCACCACCAAAAATGAAACTCCTTTGACGCCTCTTGGTTGTTCCTAGACATGACAAGCGAAAGAACAGACGACAACGCTAACGGGCTAGCGTGGGAGCGAAGAGGTCTTGTTCCTGTTCGCATGAAACCGAAAAAAACGAAAAACAATCGGGTCGACTTGTCGTCGGGGAACAGAGGAAGTTGACGGTAATAAGGATCGATTCCACCGCGTCCCCATCTCACACACGAAACACGGTCGGGTTTGAGATCGTTCCATTAGCGCGTGGCAGCACTCCGTGGGGCCTGTGGTGTTAATGATTCATGAGTCGTTGCGAGTCCCCTTTGTGGGCGATCGAAACTGTCGAGGAGCAGCATACAGCCGGCGGCGCGCCCCGGTCGCTCTGGGATCGTATAGAGTCCCACCTTCGTCCGCAAGAGGTAAGAACGTAGACACATGAGCATCGTCATCGGAGTGCCCGAGTGTTACGCTCTTCGGTGATTGTCACACCGCTGCAGCTCTCGTGCGGTGTGGACTGTCGCAATTCCGCTGCATGGTCACACATGTCGTACCTACAGTACTCCCACACCTAGGTGGAGAGGACTTCAGTCGATAGACGTCAACAAGTTGTGGCCCGAAACATGAGCACGCACCCAAAACAATAGATAGAGAGGATGGGGGATGTTGTGTAGGAACCACGAGTAAATTGCTCTATGCTCTTCCGGCCACGAACATCGCCGTGTCAAGACACACACTAAGCGAATGACGCACCCACGCGAGCGGCAGGTGTTCACCATCCGTCGAACAATCGGCGAGAGCGTGTTGGACCGCAACGAGGGTCTGTGGAGAGAGGTCGATGCCTTGGAAGACATATTAGCGGAAGCTCAGGCAAGACGCGGCTAGTGTATACTGTAGCCTTGCCCACAATGAGCATCGGACAGAGTACCATTCTCACAGCATGCATGCATAGAGTATATATGTCGTGTAAGACCGCATCCGTGTACACGGCGGAAGTACGTATCAGACGTAAGTGTCGCCGTTCGTTGTTTGGTTGAAGGGTACGAAGAACGTATATTCTTCTCTAGATCTTGCAGTAAAGCACCAGTGTTCTGTATCCGACGCCTGCTAAATAGACACATAGCTCGGGTCCTCTCGGACACCATACTCCCTTTGCCAGAGCACCCATCATCATGCATGTTCTCTCCCATGTGTTGCCAGAATCAGAACAAGCAGACGTGGCAGAAGATTGCGGCGCGACCGACCATGGCGCCGGGTCTCGAGAGAACCCTTCTAGAAGCTCACCTACGACTGTTGCTCGGGAAGCTAGGGGTGCCGAGCGGGAACCAGGGTGGAAAGGGGGGGCTGGCCTCGATGTCACCTAGCAGCAGCGGGGGCGGGGGTGGCAGCGGGTGCGGGTCGGCCTCGGTTGGACGACCTCGACCGCACACATTCCGAGAGGACGACCTCTGTAGGCGCAGCTCCACCAGGCCGTGCTGTGCCACTACAGCAGGGTGCGTTTCGTGTCCTTGTGTACGACTGGTGCCTGCTCTTACTAGCACTCGGGCGTGTGCATGACGGCTGCATTTATCGAGAGAGCGGTCCTCTTCAGGCTCTCTCTCTCTGCAAACAAGGGGTCTGGTGGCGTCTTCCACCGGTTGGTGTGGGATCGCCCGGCCGGCGGCTCTAGCCCGGGCCCCTGCCCCACCGCGGCATCCGACGAGTTTTGACAGAGGTGTACGCCCGATGAACGTTTCATTTCTCTTGATGTTGACTCATGAACAACAACAACTTAATCCCTCGCTGTCTCTGTGTCGGTACTCGCGTTGCGTCACTCTCTGCAGCAGTCCAGGGGAGGATTCTTCGCCGCGGCGGAAATGTCTGAACGGCCGAAAAGCCAGCTACGCGAGAAGAAGAAGCAGCAGCAGCAGCAGCTGCAGTGAACCCACTACACCTTACGTGCCCCTCGAGACTCAGCAAGACCGAGCTGTGTACGAATTCCTCTCCACAAGTGGTGAGTGCGACGGCCTCAGCGGTGGTGCTGCCGGGAGGGGCGGGAACGGGACGCACGGGGAGGCGGAGCGCGGAGGTTCGGAGGGAGCGGCGGTGGGAAATAGTAGATCGAGACCGGGGACGGGCAGAAGACCGGGCAGTTCTCGTTCGGCAAGGTAAATGTGTCAACTGCAGCAGTATCTTTGACGTGACGTCACATTTATTTTGGTGGGTGTCCATGGTCTGCTAAACGGGGCCATGTTGCACTAGGTAGGATACTTGGCTCTGCCCTCCTCTCCCTTCCCCCCGTGAACTCTCCCCCTACTCTGTCGCACTGTGCGTCAACTCTTGTACTCCGCTCGAATCATCTTGCGAGTTTGCAGGCCCTACCCATTGTGCCCTCGTCGTGGGTGTACGTGCGCCATGCACTCGCATAGTTGTGGTCCTCCTCCGCCGTCGACTAAAATGCCAAAACAGCCCATCTACCGTAAGCTCTACCTAGCAGCCGTCCAGGCACCACTGCATGCAGCTGACTGTATCTCTTGTTGCAAAAATCATTAGGTCGGCCCCCGAGTGTCTCGAGTCGGGGCGATGCGTCACGGTGGCCACGATCGACACCGCCCTGGGGGAACTTCGCGCCGCTTTCGAGGAAGAGGCCCAGGTGTGCGTGCGAGACTACTTTCTTCTGTGGGCTGCGTAATCTGCGTTCATGTTGCTACATAGCGAGACCGCTGTGGTATGATATTTTCTGGTAGACTCGACCGTGGCTCGATCGTGACGTGGTCGGGCTCGCACGACGCAAGGCTTTTAGCGGGTCAAAAGAGCGAGAGAATCACATTGTCCGCGAGCCCCCTCGACATTTGCTGCATTCGTTCGGAGAAAGGCACGCAAGTACGAAGATAACTGAACGGATTTCGGAGTTTAACTTATCGTGCGCGCGGAGTCGAAGAGCAAGAGTACGTGTTCGGTACTATTCTTAGGACCACAAAGAATGTTGTAGTGTGGTAGTACCAGCGTAGGCGCTTCGGGAGATATCTCGTTCGTTCGATAACCACCAAGCACTCTCGTGTCCTGCACTTATTGCCGTACCCCTTATCATCGTGATGCATCGGCGGGTGCATCAAAAGAACCTCCTCGAGGAAGTTGCCGACCTGACGGGTCTCCTGGAAGACGAGGCCGCCGTTAAGGCCGACGACGAGCGGCAGTCTCGACGGCACCTCGGGCCGAAGGCCGGCGACTACGGCGGCAAGTCCAACGCCGCCGCCGCCGCCGCGAACGACCCCATCCCGTCCTCGGAGCTGCGGCGCTACGGCAAGAAGCTCGAGGAGGCCGTGCGATCCCGGGAGCACGCCGCCGACGTCGCCCAGCGCTTAGCCCTCCCGCGACAGCGTGCCCCGGGGCTGGAACCCGGATGCGGCGGAAAGGATGGCAAGAAGAAAGGCCGGGGGGGCATGACGGTGGCCCCCGTTTCCCGTAGCTCGCGATCTTCCGAGGACCTACCCGGCTCTACCGCAAGGTTGGAGTCGTCGAGACATCGCGGTCCGGGGGTAGGGCGCAAGGCGTCTATCGGTAGAGGTAGTGGCAGCATCGGGAGCGGACCTTCCGTGGAAGACAAGGCCCGCGGCGAGGATAAGGCGGTGGGACGACGGGGGGGAGGGGGGGAACGCGGGGCGTTGGCAACGAAGCTGCGTGGTGCTGTGCGGGCGTCGCGGGAAGAGGAGGTCGTGGACGACGACAAGTATTGGAAGTGAAGTATGTAGCGTAAGCTACATCACAACCGACCCCGCCTGGATCGACAAGCAAAAGCAGTAGAGACAGTGCCGCAAAAGGCGGCGTTGGAACCGTCTCGTCGAGAGCCTTCCAACAGTTGCATCCTTTGATTGCGGTATATCCTTCTCGTCGTGGAGTGAGTGGTGGAACTTTGACAATCGGTAAAGATGGGGTGGTATTTGATGCAAGCAAAACCTTCGGTAAAGAGGCCTAAGGAGAGACGTCCTGTTGGCTATCGATGGTGACGTAGTGGAGTAGATGCAAGCCTGTCTCCTTGTCTTTGTCGGGGTGTTGGTCGGGCTTTGAACACACAAGCCGCACCAGGTGTGGCTGGCCTAAGGACGCAGGCCTGGTTGCTCGGGGACCCGCAAAAAAATGAAAGGCTGTTTTTTCATCTAAACCAGGCACCTATGTTCCCTTTTTGCTGGTTGGGATGCGGCGAAAAGCAGATGATGAGTGCGTGCCGATTCACGAAACAAACCTTCTACATTGTAAGTAGTCCGTTCACACCAGTGGTATGCATAGGGAGGGGGCATTCGAGAACCTGCAACACAAAACATGTGGCACGGGCAGCAAGCAACAAATCGATTCACGAAAAGTGTCCTCTTTTACCCTGTGATAAGAACGGACACGCCTCGAAAGGTACGGACAGTTTCACCACCACTGCTGTACACATGGGGCCGGGTGCCCGGTACAATGCCGACCTAATCGCTCGGCACTCACTACAATATGGCAGCCTTATCATGCAGGGACCAACAACGCTGTACTGGTTGTCCTTCACCGCAACCCGTGACGGAACCTATAGCGAGCTAACAGGCTGGGTGTGGCCGGGCGACGAGAACCAAACGCCGAGAAGTCGTCGCCACCGCCGTTTCGCTCCAGCCAAAAGCATTCTATGCGCATGCCCTTGTCCGCCGCCCGCCTCCGTCGATAAGAAACCCGCTCGGCAGCAGCCTTGGGGGGAGGTATCGTGAGGCAGCTTTCTCGCACTGCTGTTGAGACCGACCCACGCGGGCAAAGAACGACCAACAACCCGACCGCGTATGCACCACTACTCCGAGGGATAGCGAAAAAAGCGCACCACACATGTTCTACACGCACGCGCGCCGTATGTACGTATGCACGTGGCCACAAAATGCAAACCTTTTTGGATCGATTGATGGCCACAAAATGCGATTTGTTAATAGATTGCAACGCTCGAATATGAGGTGGTTGATGTACACAAAGAAGTCTTGTTCTTTCCGCGAGTCGTTACGGTCATCCATCACAGCAGCCGCTCGCACGTGTTGCGATGTGCCTTCCAGGCCTTGCCGTTCTAAGAGTCCACACTCCATGGATCGAACATGGAACAGAATCAACCTTTGCACCCTCAAGGAGAGAAAGTGACATGTTACCGCAGCAGGTGCAGAGTTGAAACAGCACAAAAATAAGACCCCCTCCCGCCTTCCCTCCCTTTTGCCTCCGGTCGTTCTTGCTAAATACCCATCTTTCCGTGGTACGGTACCGTAACAAATCGCAAACGGCGTGCTGACCGTGTTGCTATTTTGTCTACATGTCGTTCCGACGGTCTACAAGCTTAAAACACAGACAACGAAATGCATTTTTGCCACAGGCAAACACCAGTGACCACGCCGCAAATCCCCTCCGCCCCCTCCAAAGAGCCCAGATCAGAGCCCCCCCCCCCCCTCCCGCCCCCGCGCGTCCCTCCTCCCTCAGCATTTCAGACCATAATCAGATCTCCGCGGTAGCAAAAAGAAACAAAAACTCGATCGCTCCAGAGAGCAGGAATGAGGCTGCTGGCGTTTTTTTTTTTTACTGTACCACGACTAGAACAAAGAAACACGATAAGCAATATGGGAGTGGTGGGTCTCAGAAACCGACTACATGACGTCATTCCCGCGGGCTTCCAAGCGGGGGAGACCGTGCCAAATTGTGTTGTAAATCCCTACACAGCGAAGATACGTACCATCAAATATCCTGCCACGCGTAACTATTTATGGGCGGGCGCAAGAGGCAGGAACCCACCACAGTACCTCGTGAAAAAAAAAGAGGCCATAGCGGTCATCACTGCAACAACCCGTCGAGGCCACCTCAGCACATACCCCTCCCTCAAACGGCTCCGTTACAGCTGGCAGCAGCAGCCTGCTTGCTGTCCAACGTCTCCTTCTCAGGGAAGGCGAATGTAGCCAGTCCCCCTTCCACATCTGTCACCACCAGACCAGACCATCCGTCCGAACCTCGTCGCAATCCCCGCCGCCGCCCGACAGGTCTAACCGACGCTCGAATGAACAAAAAATACGGAAAATAAGAGGGGAGCACCCGATGGGCGACCGCTTCACAAGAAACAAGCAAAAAAGAAAGAAAAAAACTACGCTACTGCTGTGACAGAAAAAAAGACTAGTAGGGCAAGAAACAACAAAAAAAAACTACGACTGCCGTGATGGAAATGAGAGACTAGAACTGCTGCCGTAAGGGGATTCGAACCAGAGCGGCGTCGCTCTACATCTTGCCGACACCGGACCCCCCGCACGCCGCGCAGGGAACCTTGGTCTGGCCGTGACAACTGAAACGATCAGAGAGAGAGGCGTCGTTGGCAACGAGGGGGGGGGGGGGGGGGGGTCCC